GGCAGGAAGCCATTCTGGAGGTGATTGAGTGCATGGACTTACAGGAGATTGTGTGGATTTGAGTCCTTTTCAGGATACAACACTCATTCACGACAAATTGGTCTACACATCTTACCCAAGGCCCACTCCGTTTTTTCCTCCTCTTCTATTCCAGAATGCCATTCTTTTACTTCTTCAGCTGCGGAAAAGAAATACTGTTTATCCTGCAATGATCTTCTGAAATTCCACTTCTTCAGAAAAGGTATCTCTGACCACTTCTCTCCTTTAAACTCCCATAGGAGGAAACTTCTTCAGTCGTTTGGTGTTGGCCTTCTGGTTGAGTCAATCCATGACTCTCAATGTCTTGTCTCCTCAGCTGGGTTGTGAAGAGTGGACTGTCCAGATTATTCTTACCTTTTTTATTTTTATTTTTTTTTAAGATTTTATTTATTTATTCGGCAGAGAGAGAGACATCGAGAGAGGGAACACAAGCAGGGGGAGTGGGAGAGGGAGAAGCAGGCTTCCAGCTGAGCAGGGAGCCCAATGTGGGGCTCGATCCCAGGACCCTGGGATCATGACCTGAGCCGAAGGCAGACACTTAACTGACTGAGCCACCCAGGTGCCCCATTCTTACCTTTTTAAAAATTGCTTCTGATTTCTTGCATAGTGTCTTGTCCAGAACTGGCTTGTTGATTGTCTAAAGCAGTACCATCCAACAGAAATATAAGGTGAGCCACATTTGTAATTTAAAATTTTCTAGAGTCAGGGGCGCCTGGGTGGCTCAGTCATTAAGCATCTGCCTTCAGCTTGGGTCATGATCTCGGGGTCCTGGGATCGAGCCCCACATCGGGCTCCCTGCTCTGCGGGAAGCCTGCTTCTCCCTCTCCCACTACCCCTGCTTGTGTTCCCTCTCTTGCTGTGTCTCTCACTCTCAAATAAATAAATAAAATCTTTAAAAGAAAAAATAAAATTTTCTAGAGTCATAGTGAAAAGAAGTCAAAAGAAACAGGTGAAAATCATTTTAAGAATATATATTACTTAGCCCACTGTATCCCAAACATTATTTCAACATGTAATCAACATGAAAAAACTATTAATGAGACATTTTTACATGATTTTCATTGTACTAAGACTTTAAAATTCAGTGTGTTCTTTTACTCTTCAGCACATCTCAATTTGGTCTAGTCACAAGTCAAGGGCTCAAAAACCATGCATGGCTAGTGGCTACCATATTAGACAGCACAGGGCTAAGTGATAATTTGAGGAAATTTACTGAAGCTGTTGATGGAGACTTACATGATAGAAGGAGTTTAGTTTGATTTTACCGCCAATAAGTTTTTTTAATAAGACCGCAATCACACATCTTAACATGATGACAATAGAGATTAAGGATACAAATTCATAGAAATCAAGAGAAAGGATTGTTCTTGTGACAAAGAATAAATGGAAGAAGAGTAGCAGAACTCTATGAACAATGGAACATAAAAACTGAAGGAGAGAAGTAATCAAGAACAAAATGTATTAAGCCTGGAGGACCAGGAGAATAGTAAGACGGAAGAAAGAGAGAGAAAGAAAGAGACCAATCTAAGAAAGAGAGGGACTTGTTTTTAACCATGTAATTTCAGGTGCTGGCAAGGCAAGTTCATCTCAGCAGAGACGTAGTTTGGAGCAAGGATGAAAGATGAAGCCTGGCAAAGTAGCTTTTGGGATCAATGCCATTTAGTTCGTTGAGCCTGAGGATCTTAAGATTGTGAAGGCAGATAGAGATAAGAATGATTCAAAAATTTAATCTTAAGAGTTCCATAATTAGCAAGCAGGACAAAAAAAAGTGATAAGGATGGTAGGAATAAAATGAAGAGATCACAGAAGTCAAGGTCGGGGAGACCATTTCAAAACAAAAAGGGCCAGCAAGCGGGAGAGAATTTGAGGCAGATGAGAACAGAGCAAAGTCCATTGGATGGGCTTCAGAAGCCATCTCTAAAGCAATTAGAATCTTTGTCAAGCCTGAAGGAAAAAAGAGGATTTACATTAGCCGAGCTCTCTTCCAAACCCCTGGTTTTCAGTCCGTAGACCAACAGGCTGACCAAAGATGTTTGGATTGAGAAAGCTGACTTTTTCCAGCAGATACTGTCCCAGCAGGAATCCTGGCAGAAGGAAACAGAGACCAGCACAGAGGGGTGGAGTTCTGGGTGATTCTTGATTAATGGCCAATGTAAAGAAACCCCAGAAACAAGCCAAGCGACAGGACACAGGGAAATTCATAGGGAGAGCAGTGCAGGATGGAGAAACCATTGCGAAAACATTATTTGGTCTTTGTTAAAAAAGACAAGCAAAAAAATATGAATTTAAAATCTAATTTGTCATTTTAAGGACTTATTTTTTTCAAACCATTTTTTTTCAATATTTTATTGCTTATCTTTAGGGATGGGCAAATATGGAATGTGCCCAGTGGAAAGTTGCCTTTAATTTTTTACACGTTTTCGAAAGGGGAATGGAGAACAATGGTGGATGGAAAGCCCTCGAAACTCTAGTGGCCTGAGCTCAGATCTAGTCCTTTTTCTCTGTCAAGCCAATTTAACTGTAACACAGTATCCAGTATCCAAAGATTTAGGGGGAAAAAAAATGGGGGATTTTAGCTTTGTTTTCACTGAAATAGCTTTGGGATAATGGAGTCAAATTAGAACTAGTAAGAATAAACTCAGGTCTTGGTAGTTAAAGTAACTCGCTTATTCATGGACACAAGATTTACTTTGGATTGTATTTGGCAAGTGTAGGAATAAGGGGTGTGGAATTTATTCAGCTACAAAAGTCCCTTGAAATTCCCTGCAATTTCATAAAACTTAACAGTTCAAATGCACAAATATTTCTGAAATCTTTGGAAGACAACCACCCCCATCACTCCTGCTGCTGAAAATGACTAAGTTGGATTTTCTGTTTCATCCCTAAAGAGGAAGCGGGACAGATGAAAGTGACAAGCGTAGTACACCAGACAGGGTGAGGTAGACCGAGGTGGGTGAAAACATGACTCAACTGGGAAGAGAATGCAAATTCCATTCCGAAGAGCTTGAACAGAACAGTGCAAATGGAAATGCAGAGGAAGATGAAGTCAATATAGCTTAATCCATTTCAAATATTTTGTTTCTATCTATTCTAATTTCCTTGGCTCTCAGAGTCCATCTTAAAGACTCAGATCCATGCATGTTCCATTCTTTCTACATGTAAACACATTTTAAAAGTTGAGAAATAACCAAAAATAAGACGTGGGATTCACAGTTAATAACTTCCAACAGGAAAAGGAATACATAAGTCAACGTCTCTAGTGCGTCAAGATAGCTTTCAAACATTGTGCTTATTAGAAAGGACTTGCTCATTTTTTCTTAGAGATGAAATAGCTTTTATTATTCACACACACGTACACAATGTGTTCTTGATTCAGGAAGCACCAACATCAGATAGTCAGATTACCAGATAAACTCAAAGACTGGTATTCTGACTAAATTGGCAGTTTCTAAATGTCAGATAGATTAGTTTATCTCAAATCAATGTGGTGCAACCTTATCACAGACTGTCCCTTGAGGGTATTTAGATACAAATATATGGGGAAATAATTTCTTAAATTTAAAATAGCAACATTTGGTTTCTTTAAAAAAAAGGTGGAAAATTTTATATCAGATCCCTCACTCTTAGAAATTAAACAAAGTATCTGAAGTCTTGAGTTTCCTTTACCTGTTGGTGTAATGCCTCCTAACCCTTATGGGACTGAGTAAATTTGGTGTCAGAATCAACATGTGTCATATCCCTCTATATCATTAATGATTCGTTGCACAAGGACTCTATTTTATATTGTAAAACTAAGTTTATATTGATAAAAACTCTATTACATAAGACATTTACTAGAACAGATAATAAACATCCTTGCAGTCCGGTGCTATTTAGACTTCTAGTTCTTCAATGAGGTCCATTGACGGCTTCAAGGAGATAGCTGAACCCTGGAAATAGTCATTGAGATTTTGTGCATGTAACATATTTTGGAATGAAGTCCCAAATCTTTAATCAGATTCTGTTAAAGAAGTTAAGAATGATTTAGAACACCATATTAAAAGTGTATGTGTAATGCAATATGAATCTGGCACTTTGCCAAAGTTAATAGTATTACTAGTAGATGAATAAAAAGATATTTAGCATAATATTAAACAAAATAAGGTAGATCTTTCTATCAAACAAAAATAATAATATACACTCACTGTTCAATTCAGGCAGGCCAATGTTTTGCCTCCTTTCAGATTAAAATTAACAGAGTTTCACATTGTGACTTCAATCTTATCAGAGACTCCTAAAGCAAACAATAGCGCAGTATGAGAAACCTTGATTGTGTAACTTTTGCTCTGGTTTTTTTTTTTTTTTTGGAAATAGCAAATGTCATTTTCTTATTGCCCACCTTCAAACAGTCATGACAACCTATTTACATTACTGGAATTTTCAGAATAGCAACTGCACATTTTTATAAACTTTCATGGTTTTTAGTGAAGTAGTACTATTTGACAAAGCTTCTATTGATCATTATCATTGGCATGTTGTTATTATTCTTATTTACAAATTCTTCTCAGAATAGACAGTAAACGGGAGACAAAAACCCCACTTGGAAGAACTCCACTTAGAAATCTGGCAACGCCCCTGAGGCTGGGTCCTCCAAGGAAAGCAGGAATTCAGTTTTCCCTCCTGGGCAACCACGCTTCACAGGCCCGACGCCCCAGGAGCCGGCCTCGCGCCCAGCGCCCGCCGGCTCGGGCCCGGGGGAGCGCACGCCCGCGAGCGCCCGAGCTCCAGGCCGCGGACCGACCCCGAGGCGCGGCGGCCGGACGCCGCCTACCCGAAGGGTTGGCCCGCGCGGCCGGGACTGTCCCGACGCGCGGCGGCCAGCGCGGGGGAGGGAGGAGGCGGCCCCGCCCTGCCCCGCGCCCCGCCCCCGGCGCGGCTACACAGAGGGGCGCCCACGTGCCCAGGCCGCCTTCTGCAGCGCAGCGGCCCGGGCGCTCCTCTCCGCGCGGACCAGCGAGGCGGCGGCAGCTCCTGCAGCCTCCCGGAGACGCGGGCCCCCGACACGCTCCAGCCGCTCGCCCACCACCGACCCCTCGGCGCGGCCTTAGCACTGCCCCAGTAAGTTGCCTAGTGTCCGGCCACGCGGAGGGGCAGCCGGCGAGGGGCGGCCTGGGCGCCGGGGCCGGAGGGGAAAGGGCTGGGTGGGGGCGCGGAGGGCCGCGTTCGGCCGCGCGGCCGCGACTCGGGCACGGACACCCCGGGGCGGCGGGAGGGGGCTGCCGCCGCGGACCCCTGTCCCGAGGGCTGCGCCTCGCTCTGGCCAGCCCCGTGCGGCCGCGTGTGCCCCAAGGCGTCGGGGTCCGCGGCAGCTGCGCGGGTCGCGGCGGCTGGGAGACGGCGGGCACTTCCGCGGGAGCCCTTGAGGCCCTCTTGGCCCCGGGGGCCGTGGGCACCCATCTCCGGGAGCGCAAGCCAGCCCTCCCCCGCCCCCGTTCTGCACACTGAGGGGTTCCTGAAGTCGCCTTCCAGAGATTCTTGGGTTAAATATAGAACAGCGCTTGGAGCTCTGGAAGCCTTTCGCGTCCTGGACATAGGACAGGTAAAATGTCGTGGTGTGTGTTTGGGGGTAACTTGAAAGTAAATGGGTGCAGTTTGAAACCCGTTTGAGATGGGCTATACTCTTTTAAGCCTATTTCATGCCATCTTCAGCTTCGAACTCGAAATGCCATTCTGGTGTTTAGGCAGTCACCAAGCCCATGGCCTCAGAATATCCGTTCCTCCGGAGAACTTTCTGACATGCATTTACGCGTATACCCAGTCCAGGGAGTAACGTCTTCGGAGATGGTATCTTAAGGATACTTAAAAATACGCTCACGCGTCCTACGAAACAGTGTCTAGATTTAAGGAGTAAAAAGGTTCAGCCCGTTCGGACTTTCATGCATTTATGCAGAACTGCCTCCAAAAGCGGTTAGTTGACTGTTAGTACTGGTAATAAGGTTTATCTAGTCGCCCATGTGCAGAAACATTCATCCTTTTAATGAGGGAATATCGTCAGATTTTATTCAGATAGAGCTCTCTGAATGCTGGCGGGGGGTAGCATGTCGAGTTAGTGTGTTTGTGGCCTCCGACTTGATACTGTTGCACTCTTGCCCCAGCCAGTCCTTAAAACTTCAGTCACCTCTTTTCCCCGTAAGCATTTATAATAATCATCTCCCCAGGAAATTGCAAGCGGTTGTGTTTGTGCGCTTTTTCTAAGGGATGTACGGGTTAAGAATAGTTTAAAGTGTATACTTTCTGATAGCTGCTTTTTCCCTTTGTAAATTAAATCCTTTTTTCTTTTAGTTGCACTAAAGCTTGATATGAAATGTTTTGGTGCAGAAGAATATATGCATTTTCAGTTTTTTTCCTTTACTAAAAAGTTCCTAGTTGGCTACTCTGGGTTAACGCTGGGAGGCCACAGTATTTATTAGGATTTTTTTCAGTTTTCTCCCTTGCCCTCACTTGGTTTCCACATTGTGACTGACTGGGAAACGTCGTTTACCTTAGGGCATTTTAATCTTTAAGGGTGTGGTGTGCCTTGGCCTTGGAGGCAGAGTAAAACTCTGCCTGGTATCTCCTGGGATTCAGTTTGCAGAATCCTTGGCCTCTTTAGCATGTCATTGGCAAAACCCTTTTGATTCCAAAGTCTCTCATCATTATCACTGGACTTAGAGTCTGTTAAAGGGAATTAGAGGCTGGGAGGGGAGATGAAGGTAGCTGTTGGAGTTTGAAAAGACTTGAGAATACCCTGGAGTTTTTCATCTTATATTCTCATATATTTCTTTTTGAATATATGTGCCTAAAGAATTTTCAGGGTCTTGCTTTCCGCTACATACCTGCTCATCTTTGCAGAGTGGGAGTGCCTGGTCTCCATTCTGCATGGCCCACCTTTTGTTGTCTTCCCATGTCTCCTTGCTGAAGTTCTCATCGCTTCTCTCGGCTCTTCTGGCCAGACCTGAGTCCTCATCTGTGGCTGTTGCTGCTCTTTTCAGCCCACTTTTTCAAAAGGGCTTTCTCTCATAGTTTTCCTTTGGTGACTTCTCTGTTTAGCCTAGTTTCTGTCTTCTGTTTTATTTGCTTACTACTCCATTTATCCCTAGCTGTATACCTATATAAGTACTTTTTTTTTTTAAGTGTTCAGGGCCATCTGCTGGTTTTATTTTGATGCCCTTCGGTGACCGACTTTTAGACCAGAATATTGAAAACAGCTTATGTTGCTATTTATTATTTCCCCAAACATAATATGAATACGTTGATTTTTAAGGACTGGCTTCTTGTAGACCACTTACTGGATGTCAGGACAAAAGTGAAATTTTCATTTGGATATATTTCTAAATATTCACATATTTAGTACTGTGTGCCTCATTTGAATGTTTTGTCATCCAACTGAATATTGAAAAACTCAGTTAACTGTAGGATTTCCCTTATGTGATAAAACTCATCTAAATGGTTTGGAAAATCTGTGTGGTCAACTCATTTCTATACCTTTGATCTGAGTATAGAAACCATACTGATAAAGCCTTGATTAAAAAAAAACCTAATGAAATCTTTTCATTGTCTTCTGTTTTAATAACTTTTCATTCTATTGCCTAACACAATGTCTGCACATAACACATGCTCAGTATGTCTTATTGTTGAGTGAATGCCAACTGATTTCAATAATTTGAGAAAGGGTGTTAATGTATGTCTTTGAATATATATTCCTTCATTGAAAATTACTGTGTCCCTACTTTGTACCAGGCACCGGACAACCAAAAGTAATGTGTAGCTCTGATTCCGGAAGGATTCTTCAATGAGTTTTACATTTGGGAAACCCTTCACTATGGATTTATGAGTAGTTTTTTGTTGTTGTTGTAATTTTATATAAAAACAGTACCTGTAAACAGATGACTTGAGTACCATCTACACCAGAAAGCAAGTAAGGAACACACTTTCTCATATATGGAGATGATGCTGCTTACTATTCCATCATCAAAAGCACTTATGCTTGGCATTTTCGTTTTACTGGTAAAACGTATTTACTAGTAATAAATTTGTCCTGATTCTTCTTATATATTCTTTTATTTGCCTTTTTGGCTGTTGTTTTAGAAGTGATGTTTGTGTCTGTGGAAATGTTGTAGTTTCCATTGACAAAACCAAACCAACAGTTGGGGGTTCATTTCCCCCGGGCTCTAAGTAGCCAACCAGGTTCTCAGTAGCTCAATTAAGATAATCAGAGCATGACTTATCCATTAATTTTTCTTGTCCAACTTAATAAACATATATTGATCTGTGGAAGCATGCAGTGCACTACTCTTTTTCTTGTGCTTATGGACTCTTAAACTTTAAATGTTTCTGGGAATAGCCTCTATTGCTATTGAGTTAACCTTCTCATTGGTAAGTACCATCAGTATTGACTTTAAGATTTGAGTTAAAGTGGTTTTTATTTAAAAGGCTGGGTTTAAATATGTGGGTTGCATCTCTTGGTTCCTATTTAGACTTTTACTTTGGTTCTCTGTTCAGGGAAATCTGTGGTTCCATTTTTCTGGGTGTGTATGGACATACGTTGTTGAGACTCTTGGGTTTTCTTACATCCAAGATGGAATGATCAGGCTACAGTGTCCTATGTGATGATTTCATTCTGCAGATGTTATAAATTTGATTTTATGCCTCTCTCCATCCCCCTTTAAAAAAATAAATAAAAAACAAAATCCATACTCATTTCTGGTGCCTCATATTAGTACCTTTATTCAGAATGTGAGCCAATCTGGGATTCGGCAGTGAAGCAGATGATATAAGAACATTCCTTAACCTTTCTTTCAGGAGTTTAAAAAAAAAAAAAAAAGCCCTATGTTGTATTCATTTTTGGAATATTTTTGAACAATACACAGCAAAGAATTTTTATGTCCCTTGTTGATTCTTGCTATTTTTTCCCACAGTTCTGGGGAAAATTCTTTTCTGTCCTTAACCCAGTCTGGCTTCAGGAAGCCTCCCTAGGTCTTTATACAATTATATGTAATACAATCCTGTTTATGCCATCAAAGCCTCCTTCCTAGTGAGCCTAGTGATCATGGTGGATGGAGCTTCATGTCACAGGGGATGCTGAATGATACTGTAATTAAGAGGCTCTCATTTTATTCTACTTTTTCCCCTCCCTTACTTTTTTTTTTTAGTTCAGATTTTAAGATAAGTGGATCTGTTCTACTTAAAAATGAATGATTGTCTCTTCAAAAAAATCAAGAAAGTACACCTTAAAACTTATTTTTTATTCATTTTACTTCTGTGTAGACCAAAAAATGTTACAGGAGTTGGTACTTTGATCATTAGAGATAAAGATTGGTTGGTTAGGGTCTTTTCTTGCCTTGGCTCTGGGTATCTAGCTGTCACTTTGGTAAACATTGATAATGATGATAGTCACTATTGGAATAAGAGAGAGTGGAGTTAAGTGATATAGTGGAATTATGCAACTGTATATTGAAACTTGAGGAAAATAATGGGGTCTCTTTGCATGTTCAGCCTTATTTTTTTACACTCAGTATGAGCTGAAGGCAGATTTTCAGAATGCAAGTCAATTTCTACTTTCAAAAATCACACTACAGTCTCTAGAACTTGAAATATATCTGAGTGGTGGAGTGGGAAGGCTTCTCTGTACCATATGCAGAGTTTATTTTCCCAAAGCGTGTGGGTCATAATCCTTCCTTCTCCCCATTACTGCTGTCTGGTTTCCAAAAGAAGGTATGCATTTGGTGGAAACAACTGGATTTCATTTTTGTGAAACTAATATGCAAAATTTACCACTACTCAATGCAGAATTTATAGTATTCAGCAGTTGTGTGTGCATCCAAGTTACTGAATACTGTTTTGATACGTTAGGACTGCCTTGGAATAGGAAATACAATTTTGTAATTTTGATTCTAAGAATATCTTATGAGATACTCTATTTGGAGTCTTCCATGAACAGTGGTTAGTTAATCCATTTTGGATGAGTATGTGTTGTATATATTTACTGCCCAGATCTGGAGTCCGTAGAGAAGCAAAGAATAAATAACTTGGTTCCTATTCTCTGGGCATTGACAACTCAGTGAAGGAGTTAACAACTA